TCAACTCCATTCCTTGTGCCAGGTGACCCAACCAAGCTCCATCGCATCGATGACGCCAATATTGTTGGCATCCTCAAAGGCAAGATGTTGAGCTTCGCCGGCATGCTTTCGATTCGTCATGGTTCTTTTCGTACGTCAGGGCTAAGGAAGTGCTAGACCAAAGTCTGGGGAGAAAGCAGAAGATGGACACCCGGATATGTAAACGATGCGCACACACACACACACACTCGCGCTCACGCTTACGCACACATGTGATCCTTTCTGGTTGCTCGGCTGTGGTGAACATGTTGTCAAAGGAGCAGGAGGATCTAACAGCATGAACTTCCATCGGCCCTACTGTCAGGATGCCAGGAATGGCAAAGGCCACTGCCAGGTACAGTCTGCGTTATGTCCCAATAGAACAACAGAACAATATAACAACAGAACAACATAATAACCACATAACAACATAACACACACGATGCATCAACAATATAGCAGCATAACAACATAACATCATAATAACATAACTATATAACTTAATATCACACTATATCGGTATAGAATAATTGTATAACAATGGCATGACAACACTATAAAACAATATAACAATAAAATGACAACCATGCAACGACAATATAACAACAATATAACAACCAGATCACAGCCATGTAACGACCATATAACAACAATAGAAAGCAATATGAACAACAGCACAGTAACCATGTAACAAACATAAAAACACAGCAATAAATAACAATAAAGACACTAGAACCAGAACAGTATAACAACAATCTAGTTTAATACTCCAGCGTTCGTTGGTCCATGTTTCGGTCGGGGGGAGGGGTATGCCACAGGCCAGGGCGCATAGTGGCTGAAGATCACAAAGGCCGGCTGAAGGAAGCAGGAGCGCATCCTCGGTGGGTCGCATCACGCCACGAAGGCTGCTTCCAGCACTCGATGGCCACACCCAGCCGAGCTGCAACAGCGACCGGATGCTGTGGTCCCTGGCCACCTCTGCACCGCATGACAACTTTGGACTCAAGATCATGTTCACGGCTCCTCGGCATCTCTTTACCTCGTCTTCTCTGGCCAAAGTCTAGTAGGATTCGAAAAGGCAAGCTGGAAACATGCTGCGGCTTGACAGGCAAACGACGCCAGGTCAGCAACGTAAATCACACCCCGACTTCATGACTGCTCAACGATGGTAGCAGCTACATTATGTGTTGCCAGTCCCAAGCGCCAATGGTATTTCCCAAAGCCATCGCTTAAGAGAGTCCCCTTGTCTCTCCCCCAAACATGCCCTGCAAAAGAGCTTCCATGAGATGCCTCTAAGGGGGTCTTGCCATCTCCAGCGAAGCTGGTCGCATCGGCGCTGAGCTTCAGCAAATGCTCCACCATTTGAGGATTCCCAGCTCCTCGGCATCGGCAAGAAATAATGCACCCGCATACGGTGCCTGTGCCTTCGTCTCGGCGGCAGCAGCAGCAGCAGCAGCAGCAATGCAATCCAGGGACCACTGTCGCGTCTAGAGTCTAGACACTGCGCCCTCTCGCCCCACACTCCCAAGCAAGCCCAGTGGCTCGAGGCGTAATGAAGCGCCGACCATCGGCCCTCCACTTCCTGGGCTGTGAGATCCGAGCTGGCACGCTCCGTTCAGGTCTGAATCAGCCAAACCGCCCTAATGCACCCGAACACAGTTATGAGGTGGGATATAGCGGGATCGTCTGATTAAGCTAACCCCGAACTTTCGAAAGGGCGGGCAGGGTGCACAGTTCACAAGACCCGGCCGGCTCTGGAGCATCTGTGTCACCTGCGCGCGGTGTCTGGTGAACAGATGCCTTTTGCTGGAGCAATTCTGCCACTCGAAAGGCCTGCTCCCACTGGTGGTCTTTGCACAAGTCCAAGAACTTTGTGCCTGTAAGGCAGGGGTGCAGTTGTCTAAGACCATTTCATTGCATCATATTGCATCTACGAGTAGAACGGCCAAAGCCTGCTCAGGTCTGTGACTGTGGTGGCGCTGCTGCCAGGTGCTTGCTGAGGCGAGCGCCCAGCTCCAGACTTCTGGGGCTCTCCCTCATGCCATTCTCGCGATCGCGCTGGACCTGGTGTCTGAAGGATCCCCGACTTCTTGTTTGATGTTTGATCCGGGATCGGGGGGGCCTTGCGCCGGTGGCACTTGTCGCAGATGTCGGTCTTGCACTTCTGGCAAAACCAGCGCCAGAGGCCGCAATTCACCCTCCTCTGCGGACAGCGCGCTCTTCGGCAGTCCCTGATTCCCCCTTGAACAAGCACAGAGCGATGCAACGCAAAGCGATGCGATGCAAAGCGATGCAAAGAGTGCCTTCCATGTCGCTCCCCAGAGCCTACATACAAGTAGCTCTCTCCGGCCCGTCCTTGAGCCACACTTGTTGTCGCAGGCCCAGCCGCTGACGTAAATGCCTCCCATGTAGTCGCTCCACCTTTCACGTCGGCTGCATGACATGGTGCGCAGAGTCAAGGAAGGGATCAGGACAGTGCGACCGAGACGCTCCATCTCATCACCGCAAACCGGGCAGTTCGGCAAACCTTAGACATCAGGAGCGCCTTCCTACGGCCTGGGACATGTAGAGACTTAGATTCGGCTGCTTCAGTGCGCAGAATCACAGAGGGGAGAGAGGGTGGGGGGGGATTCGCGCGTCTCCACCGGGCGGCTCTGAAAGCTGCGCGCCGACTCCGGGCGCTGCAGGCAGTCGGTGCAAGCATCCCAGCGGCCTCACCAGTGGATCACATGGAGAGGCCGGATCTGCTTAGGCTCTATGCAAGGCGTGGCACCTACAGCAGCATTGAGAGGTTGTGCGTGCGTGAGAACCTGTTATGGAACCAGGGCTTGGGCTTCCCAACCGCCCACCCTTGGTAACGCGTACATGTAGCCCTTCCAGTCTGCAGGCAAGGCGCAAATCGAGCAACTGTGGAGGCAGCTCCCTGAAATCCACGAGGCAGAGGGAAGAAACTTCTAACCGAAGAAGCAAGGGATGGGAGCTTGCTGCAGGGTCGCAGTATTGTGTTGCATGCCACCGGTGGTTTTGTTGGGCCAGAATGGGCCGTCACTGATTGTCCGGACAAAACGCAAGCTCATAGCATTCAAAAGCGCTGACCAAACGTCACGAACATCTCGGATTGTCGGCCACCATGCTGATGAGTTTTCTTCACAACCCAACAACCTCCCTCATCATCGTGTTCCTTCCCGATAGCTGAATCGTTGGTCTTAGTTGCCGGAGACCATCATCCACCCTCCTGGACCTTTCGAAACTGTGCAGGAGATGCCGAGCCGCCCGAGGGCAGCACCCGACCGCAGAGGCTGCAGGAGACACCCAGGTAAGGCAAACCTGACACAGGGAAGAGAAAGGGGGCGATACTTCGGATGGCTTAGGGATTGCTCGTGGTTGGCAGGGCTTGGTCGGATGGGGTTTTCGGTGTCGATGGCCAATAGAAGACGAGAGACCCAAGGTGCGGAGCTCATGGCCCTTTCGGCAGCGGTACCATTTGCCTAAGTGCCAAGCAAGTTCGGGTGGTCTCCTATTCACAGAAAGAGAAAGGACCTCTAGTTAGGGTCCTAGACAGCTGCAACCACGGCGCTGTCGATCAGTGCCCTCCTCCGGTGCTCCTGCTCTGCGCATGCAAGCGCATGCAATGTTGCAAGCCTTCCTTTGGACAGTCTTGGTCCAACGCCCGAATCGCCAGCAACAGCCTGAACATCCGCGTGTCGTTGCCCAACAGGGAACTACGGAACGACGTGACCGACATAATTATGAGAAAGCATTTGACGGCTCTAACATATTCCCCCCCCCCCCCGGTTCATACATTCTTCATGAGTAGGATGGAGAAATTTCTTGTGTAGGTGCTTTAGTCGTCCTAAGAAAGTCAGGGGTTTACCAATGAGGTGGTTGCGGACATACATCATTCTTTGGTTTGCGCTTCCTCCTGACCATGCCACTTGAATGCCCTGGACGTCCCAGCAGCCGCAACTCTCCACAAGATCTCGATCGAGAAACGTTACGGTAGGGGCTAGAATGGGGGCGAAGTGGGGGTACGGCAAACTCAATCCTACGCTCTACGAGCACCACCCTGAGCTTCTTCCCCTTCTAAGGCCGAAAGATCCATCAACTCCACTCGGTCCTCGGAGTTGTATGTGCGATACCTCGGCGTGGCTCCAAAGGGCGCCGGTTCTTTGGAAGTGTCAGAATTCAAATCGACTGCTTTTCTACACATCATGAGGTGTGGTAATGGGCATGTGCATTCACTGGGGTTGCCACCGCAAGCTGACCGCAAGTCTTCTCACATCTGTTCACAAGACTCCGGGCATCGCTGGGGCCCCAGCGAGAGCATTCCACATGCAGGTGCCAGCAGGAGATTGGTCAGAGGCACCCGTATGGAGTCCTTGCCATCCCTTCTCTTGCATGGGCAAAAGAGGGCCCTCCAAACAGGATCGGTTGATTGTTTTGCAACTGCTGTTTGGCCGTGGCCGCGCGATGTGCAACAGTGTCTTGCCAGTCTCGCTGTTCTGGAGCAACAGCCTGCTGTATACCCTAGCACAGATGAGCAATGTGTCCTTCGCAACGGGCGTGCTTCGCCCTTAAGTCTTAAGTCGGCTGAGTGGTGCTGAGGTAGCAAATCGTGGCTCTACAGCGGCTACGGATCAGACGTCTTTGGATCCGACTATGGCTGCGCACAGATACGGCAAACAAGACAATCCGACTTTATATGAAGGTTCTACCAGTTGGAACGTCAAGCATATGGTGAACTCAGAACGGGTCATAGCTCGATAGGATCCATGCACCCTTGTTGCATCTAGTGGTACATGAAGAACCTACATACAGAGAGAGAGAGAGATAGAGAGAAAAAAACAAACAATAAAAAACAAAAATAATAAATAAACTTCGACCCCAGAGAGGACCTGGCTACTAGCACTCTGGGGTCCAGTGCCCAGGTCGTATCCATACAGGCATCTGCATGGACGTGACTGGGCAGCTCAGGGCTTGGCGCCATCGCCCAAGGAGCCAAACTTCCGCTCCGCTTCCTGCGCATCTCAGAGCTTTGGGACCCAAGGCAATCCCCCCAAGAAGTTGCCAAGAAACCTGCCTTCAACAGAAGCCTCCCAGCCGGAGGCCAAAAAACCCTAGGCTTCGGCGCACCCTGGGCCCTAGACCCCAGACGTCTCATGGAGCTTGAAACTTGGGATGTTCCCCCTTAGCAGACTTTTATAGGGATCATGGTACCCCTTTCGAGCGGCCGCTCCTGCGGCCCAAGTGGCCGACTCGGAGTCAAGAGAGTTGGCCGCGCTGCCCAAGCCCCCGGGCCCCCAACTGTCGGCCCAAACTCCAGATTTGTTTACAGTTGCAGTTAATGTTAATTTAGTAATATTATTATTAAATATTATAATTTAACTTAGCAATATTATTATTAAATATACTAAGCTAGGCAAGTACTCCGCGAAGCCCGGGGCTCCAGCAGCTCCGTTGCGTCTAGGACAATCAGGTGAGGAACTGGTAGTGTGCTATCAGCAACATTGCCAGGACCTCGCACCTGACTGGCTCAAATCCGCTGGATTGTGCACCCTGTTCGAATTTGCAATTCTCAGGCACCCAAGCTAGTGCCGAAACCTTTCCTTTGCCGGGGCGTCCGTGCCCCTTGCAAAGTCTCATCGGAACTCGAAACACACTGAACCAACGTGGGCTGAAACCTGCTCAGAACCCAACACACTGAAACCCAGCAGCAAAAAGTGCAAAAAGTGCAAAAATCCCGATCAGCAAGGACTGGCCCACAGCGGGTCGCGAATTCTCTCACGGCCGGCGCAGCCCACGCGACTGACACATGGGCATTTGGGCACTTCGACGCCGTGGCCGGTCGGCCTTGCGGTGGCAAACTGCTCTGAACTTTCAAGCGCCGCCGCTGAGGGTTCACGAGGACTCCTAGACCTCCTACACGAAACCTACCAAAAGCGAAAGCTTCAAGATTCGAAAGACCTACTTTTGAACAACCCCTGTGTCTGGTACATCCCGGCATGGCATTCCAACAGCCGGCCTCTTAGCGTCGCGTCCGCTTCTTCGTAGACGTCTTGGCAGGCCTGCGAAGCTGCGAAGCTACGGGTGACTCAGTGGTACCGGCATGCCTTTCACTCCAAGGATCAGCAGCGACCGACTCCCGGAGTGAAGAAGCTAAAGTGGCTAAGCTGGGAGTTTCCAATGCCGAGACCCCTTATAGCCCCCCAAAAACAACTCCAAACCTTGAAAACGCGCCTGGAGGTGGGACTGGCGACCTCCTGCAGGCCATTTGACAGACCAGAGAGAAACAATTGCATGCGATCTGCTCAGTCCCGCACACACTGTAAGGCTTGCCAAACATTGTCTGACTCAGACAACCAGTCCATCGCAATGCATCACATGCAGGCAGAAAGAGAGAGTCTGAGTTTGTTGGCTCGGTTCCATCGACAAGAGAGCCTGCAGTCTGCGGGCTGTCGTCTATGCCAGCTTCCGAGGCGTCAGTGACCCCTCCGAAGCTGTTTGTTAGCGGAACAAACCTCATTGGTGCCTTGTGCACACGAGGATGAATCAGGATGAACAAAACCCGAGCTGGCGTGATAAATTCGACTTCCAGCACTTTGCATGCACACACTGAGCTTGCACAGGAATTGCCTCTTGTGGCTCTCTTGCGTAGCTCAGCGTCACACTACTTCTGAATTCTCGGAACTTAACAATTCGCATGCCACTGGGACTGGCTTTACAATCGAATTAAACTGGTTGCACCATCCTTCGCAGACCCCACTTGGCGTGCATTTCTATGCAGCGTGCGGCCGAACGCCAGTTTGGCGGAGGGCGCGGCAACGCAAGCTCGCACAAGCGGGTCAATAGGATGGGCACAGTCGCCACCCAGTACTTACTACGCTGTGGTCTGCCACCCAGTGGATAGATGCATCTGGTGTAACCCCATCAGGCCCTTCCTCACCGGAGAAAGCCTTGCAGTTGAAGGACAGAAAGTCAAAGGATGCCTCCGTGGAAAAGTTCTCCACTTGGATGGGCACGGCATCGCTAACGTTCACCGCGATGTAACATGAATCTTGAGAGGGATACGGGTTCGGAAAACCAGGGCTCATGATGCAGTCGAACTCGTCAATAGTGCACTTCCCTCGGACGACCGACCACATTGCACCCTTGAAGTCGATGCCCGAGATGTCCTCCGGCTCCTGCAAGGCAGGCTTTGAAGCAGCTTTGAAGCATGCAGGCAGAGCAAATGATCTACAGCTTCCAGGCATGTCATGTCAGGGGTCCTTCATGATCCTTCCCCATCGTGCAGCCTACGGGGGCCTACGGCTCCCCAGAAAGACTAGAGAGCCCATGAGACGTGCTTTGTCGGAGGTCCTCCTTGTCCTGCGCGGAAACCTTGCGCACCTTGTCGTCCATCACGTCCTTCACCCAGGCCAGGACACTCTGGACGCGCGCGTAGATGCCTGGGAAGCCAGGGACTGCACAGCCCTGGCCCCATGAGGTGACGCCGCGGAGCACGAAGTGACCGTCCTCCTCGCAGACTAAAGGCCCACCGCTGTCCCCCTGGCAGGTGTCGGTGATGCCCTTGCTGGAGTTTCCCGAGGCGCAGAGCATGGAGCCTGTGATGGTATGCTTCTGCTTGGTGTAGTTCACCTCGCAGTCGTCCATGTTCAGCAAAGAAACCGAAGCTTCTTGCAATACTTCGGGGGTGGAACCCCTGGAGGCCAGGGTGCCCCAACCCGTGATGTGGCACTTAGTGTCCACCTTCTCAGGGGTATTTGGAAGACACGCGACGCCGATGCACTCGTTCATCGGCATGGGCTTGTCGAGCTTGAGCAGCGCGAAGTCGTAGTCATGCTGCACGTTTTCGTTGTACAAAGGATGAACATAGATTTTGGAGACGTGGCGCTCGACAAGGCCGTTGGCCTTGGAAGAGTCCCTCTGCTTGCTGCCCGCGCCAACTCTGAGGTTGCGTACACCACAGCGATGGCGCACGTGCGCCACGCAGTGCGCAGCCGTGAGGACCCAATCTGGAGCAATCAGGGTGCCGCCACAAAACTGGCCTGCGATGGACGAGCTGAGACTCACCTGCCACCTCCACACACACTGCTCGGAATCCGCCCCATGCACGATTCGCTTTGATTGCCTTGTTGGCTTCGTCTCTGTGGCCGCCGCACCTGGCAACCCACACTGCTTCCAGTCTGGCTCGGGCTGTGCCGCCTTTCGGAGGCTGGGCGCGGCCAGAGCTGGCAACACGAGACAAAGCCACCGTGCGAAGAACATGGCGACACTCAGCAAGAGGGAGCTAGCAGCTAGCACACTCCAGCCTCTGCTGACAAGCCACAAGGGGCTCCAAGAGAACAACACATGAGATCTGCTGAAATGATGCGCTTCAGCCACCTGGACCCGGACATGACGCGTCGTGACGAAGGACAGTCCTGGGTCTCCGAGGCGACCGCGTTCTCCGAGACCTGCCATTCTCTCTGGGGCAAGGGGCCAAGGATGGAGCCGTGAACATGTGAACTGCAGAATTCTGCAACTTCTTTGGCTGCCTCTATGCTTACCCCCTCGCCCCATCGGCTGCAAGATGTGTCCTGTATCCCTGGCTTGGAGCTGTGGAGCTGTTTGCTCTCATTTTGTTGTGATGCCTGCTCCTGCAGATCCTGATTTCCTGGCCTGCAGGGAGGAGATGCGACTGTGACACTTTCCCGAAGTGCCCCTCAATAAGACTTGCCCCGTAGATTCTCCAGACCAGTAGTAGATGCTGCGAGGTTGGTCAACGGAGAGGGCACCGAAGCCGCGTGTCGAAACCGTGCAATGCATGTCATGAACGTACACGCTCACATGGGCAGTCAATGATTCTGACGGACTTGCTTGTGTTGATTATGCGGGTTTCGGGGGCTTTCTTTAAGCATGAAAAAATTTAGTTTATAGGCGTTTCCTGTATGGATTCTCTAAAGTGGGTCGAGCGCGCCTTACATAGCTACATGAGAGTGCTGCTCATGGAGAACTTGCACCAGGCTGACAACATGTTCACCATGCTCCCCTGACACTCGCCGTGAAAAGTCAAAGTTTATACATCCGTCATTGCCTCTGCAGGCTCCGGCGTCTTCAGCGGCTCTGCCTGACGCAATGAGCTGTCACTACTTTGCTCTTTGCCGGACCGGGGCAAGTCTGGGGACGCAGGGAAACACGGATCAAGCTGCTGGCTCCGATGCCTCCTTGGCAACTGCCTCCACAGCCGTGGCCTGCCCAGGCTGCCCCGGAAGCAAAAGCAGGGAAATATCGACGGTGAGCCCGCTGAGCCCTGAACCCTGAACCCACCGGACTCATCGCTCTTCAAAGCTTCTGGAGAGAGTTGCCGAGGCCCTGACTTCTGCTTCCTCAGGAAGAGGCGCCTCACGGGCAAGAACAGAAGGCACCGAATCCAGCATTCGAAGCGCGGGCGCAGCACCGGGGCCTTCTCGGAGACCTCGGCCGCGTGGCTGGCTGCGCGATCATCCTGCAAACCCGCAGTAGTCTTTGCATGTGGCCTACCTCCGACAACTGGAACTCTGTGCTGTCTGCGACAAATCAAAGCAGGAAACTTGGCAGCCGCGGAAGGCTGAGCAGCAAGAGACATGCAAAGATGCAGCCAGGAGAGACTCAAACCAACGTGTTGCCATACATCCGTCATTGCCTCTGCAGGCTCCGGCGTCTTCAGCGGCTCTGCCTGACGCAATGAGCTGTCACTACTTTGCTCTTTGCCGGACCGGGGCAAGTCTGGGGACGCAGGGAAACACGGATCAAGCTGCTGGCTCCGATGCCTCCTTGGCAACTGCCTCCACAGCCGTGGCCTGCCCAGGCTGCCCCGGAAGCAAAAGCAGGGAAATATCGACGGTGAGCCCGCTGAGCCCTGAACCCTGAACCCACCGGACCCATCGCTCTTCAAACCTTCTGGAGAGAGTTGCCGAGGCCCTGACTTCTGCTTCCTCAGGAAGAGGCGCCTCACGGGCAAGAACAGAAGGCACCGAATCCAGCATTCGAAGCGCGGGCGCAGCACCGGGGCCTTCTCGGAGACCTCGGCCGCGTGGCTGGCTGCGCGATCATCCTGCAAACCCGCAGTAGTCTTTGCATGTGGCCTACCTCCGACAACTGGAACTCTGCGCTGTCTGCACCCTTCTGCACCCTTCTGCACCCTTCTGCACCCTTCTGCACCCTTCTGCACCCTTCTGCACCCTTCGCACGCTTCTACACCCTTCTGCGCCTCTTCCTTGAGCTCGGCTGGCTCTGCTGCAGCCTGACCATGCAAGATCAAAACCATCACAATGCGTACAGCGCCAGTCGGGTCTGCGAAAGCCTTGGTTGGGAAACCTAGTACTCTGTGAACCGAGGCCACAGAACTGAAGCTACATCGGTCCAGCCCGGTCAACTACCAACCCAACAACCCAGCGAAGCTGCGACAAATCAAAGCAGGAAACTTGGCAGCCGCGGAAGGCTGAGCAGCAAGAGACATGCAAAGATGCAGCCAGGAGAGACTCAAACCAACGTGTTGCCATACATCCGTCATTGCCTCTGCAGGCTCCGGCGTCTTCAGCGGCTCTGCCTGACGCAATGAGCTGTCACTACTTTGCTCTTTGCCGGACCGGGGCAAGTCTGGGGACGCAGGGAAACACGGATCAAGCTGCTGGCTCCGATGCCTCCTTGGCAACTGCCTCCACAGCCGTGGCCTGCCCAGGCTGCCCCGGAAGCAAAAGCAGGGAAATATCGACGGTGAGCCCGCTGAGCCCTGAACCCTGAACCCACCGGACCCATCGCTCTTCAAACCTTCTGGAGAGAGTTGCCGAGGCCCTGACTTCTGCTTCCTCAGGAAGAGGCGCCTCACGGGCAAGAACAGAAGGCACCGAATCCAGCATTCGAAGCGCGGGCGCAGCACCGGGGCCTTCTCGGAGACCTCGGCCGCGTGGCTGGCTGCGCGATCATCCTGCAAACCCGCAGTAGTCTTTGCATGTGGCCTCCGTCCGACAACTGGAAATCTGTGCTGTCTGCACCGTTCTGCACCCTTCTGCACCCTTCTGCACGCTTCTACACCCTTCTGCGCCTCTTCCTTGAGCTCGGCTGGCTCTGCTGCAGCCTGACCATGCAAGATCAAAACCATCACAATGCGTACAGCGCCAGTCGGGTCTGCGAAAGCCTTGGTTGAGAAACCTAGTACTCTGTGAACCGAGGCCACAGAACTGAAGCTACATCGGTCCAGCCCGGTCAACTACCAACCCAACAACCCAGCGAAGCTGCGACAAATCAAAGCAGGAAACTTGGCAGCCGCGGAAGGCTGAGCAGCAAGAGACATGCAAAGATGCAGCCAGGAGAGACTCAAACCAACGTGTTGCCATACATCCGTCATTGCCTCTGCAGGCTCCGGCGTCTTCAGCGGCTCTGCCTGACGCAATGAGCTGTCACTACTTTGATCTTTGCCGGACCGGGGCAAGTCTGGGGACGCAGGGAAACACGGATCAAGCTGCTGGCTCCGATGCCTCCTTGGCAACTGCCTCCACAGCCGTGGCCTGCCCAGGCTGCCCCGGAAGCAAAAGCAGGGAAATATCGACGGTGAGCCCGCTGAGCCCTGAACCCTGAACCCACCGGACCCATCGCTCTTCAAGGCTTCTGGAGAGAGTTGCCGAGGCCCTGACTTCTGCTTCCTCAGGAAGAGGCGCCTCACGGGCAAGAACAGAAGGCACCGAATCCAGCATTCGAAGCGCGGGCGCAGCACCGGGGCCTTCTCGGAGACCTCGGCCACGTGGCTGGCTGCGCGATCATCCTGCAAACCCGCAGTAGTCTTTGCATGTGGCCTACCTCCGACAACTGGAACTCTGTGCTGTCTGCACCCTTCTGCACCCTTCTGCACCCTTCTGCACGCTTCTACACCCTTCTGCGCCTCTTCCTTGAGCTCGGCTGGCTCTGCTGCAGCCTGACCATGCAAGATCAAAACCATCACAATGCGTACAGCGCCAGTCGGGTCTGCGAAAGCCTTGGTTGGGAAACCTAGTACTCTGTGAACCGAGGCCACAGAACTGAAGCTACATCGGTCCAGCCCGGTCAACTACCAACCCAACAACCCAGCGAAGCTGCGACAAATCAAAGCAGGAAACTTGGCAGCCGCGGAAGGCTGAGCAGCAAGAGACATGCAAAGATGCAGCCAGGAGAGACTCAAACCAACGTGTTGCCATACATCCGTCATTGCCTCTGCAGGCTCCGGCGTCTTCAGCGGCTCTGCCTGACGCAATGAGCTGTCACTACTTTGCTCTTTGCCGGACCGGGGCAAGTCTGGGGACGCAGGGAAACACGGATCAAGCTGCTGGCTCCGATGCCTCCTTGGCAACTGCCTCCACAGCCGTGGCCTGCCCAGGCTGCCCCGGAAGCAAAAGCAGGGAAATATCGACGGTGAGCCCGCTGAGCCCTGAACCCTGAACCCACCGGACCCATCGCTCTTCAAGGCTTCTGGAGAGAGTTGCCGAGGCCCTGACTTCTGCTTCCTCAGGAAGAGGCGCCTCACCACAGCTCCCCTTAGCAGATGTGCCCTGGCAACCCCGGGTCCCCTCGACCTCCACCGCCCGGCCTGGAAGGTTGGTGTCTCAGAGACTCTCCCCACGCGCACCTCTCCGGCGCCCGAGATTAGAGGGACGTTTTGGGGGGTCAAGACGACAGGATGCCTTTTTTCAGGGCTCTTTAAGGGAGCCTTTCATGAAGTGGCTAGTGGCGCCTGGGGCAGCAAGGGCCGAGACCTGGACTCCAAGGGAGTGAAGCTGCAGTCACAACGTAACGTGAGACAAGACGCGCAAGTCTCTCTCGCTCTTCTTCGCAAGTCTCTCTCTCTCTCTCTCTCGCTCGCTCGCTCGCTCTCAGTCTGCCCATCGGCAGCAGGCTACATTATGTGATCTTCAATTGTGCAACAGGTCCAGACAAAGCCAACTAAGGTTGCACCCTCCCCGGGTGTTTGATTCCATCTCAGCACAGTGCGGATCGGAGTTGCGAGGCTGGCAGGAGAAGAACTCCTCAGAGGCACGCGGCTCCTGCAGAAAAATGCTTCTCCACCTCTAGTGCCCTCGACAGCGACCCGTGCTGTGTGCTGCTACCCCCCCCCCTTTTGTGGATTTGCATGGTTTTTGGAATGGAGAATTGGGATTTCATGCGCTCCCCCCCCGAGCCCCTAAACTGCCCTAAAACTCCCTCAACTCCAGCTCCCGCCTGGCACGCAGGTCCGGCGCTGCGCTGCTGGCAGCGAGATGCGTGGCTGCGGAGGCGCAGGCCCAAGCCTAGTCGAGGAGGAGGTTGAGCTGGTTTTAGGGTCTAGGGGTTGAGGGCTGGGGTTCTCAGAAGGGGAGCATTGATATTCGGTCGGTCTCCCAGGAACAAGCAGATCAAGATCTGGCTAGTCGGAGCTGGGGGGGGGGGGTCGCCCATGCGAGGAAGGCAGGGATTGGCAAAAGCTCTGCAGATTTCAAGCTGATCAGAGAGCTTTTCGGCCTTCCTTACCTTGGCACCCGGCTTGCAAGAGAAAAATTGAAACATCTCACAAAAATATAAACCTGCACCCTGCAGCCTACACTTGCCCTCCACTCCAGATGTATTGCCCGACCCCCAAACCCCCCCCCCCCCCCCCCAAAAAAAAAAAAAACACAATCCCAAAATCCCTAAGCCTGCGCACACCCAAGCTCTCCATCCTGCCTTGCAGGCCGAAGATGAACCCCAGGCGCTTGCCGCAGTGCGGGCAGCAGGGCGCCTATTGCAGGACATCCACGGTATTTGTGCGGTGGTGCCGGGACGAACTTCACTTTGGGATCGAGACATCTTTGTTGAGGCTCTTGCTTTTTTGTATCCAGCATCCTAACCCCTTCTTTGCTACAAAAACATCAAAAACCCATTGCCGTTCTTCTCACCTGAGAGAGGACCAAGCCCTAAGCCCTAAACCCTAAACCCTAACCCTAAACCCTAAACAGTTCAGAGTCAAAAGCTGCCTGCCACCTCTGGAGGCAGGCAGTGTGCCGCGCAGACACCTGCAAGGCCGGATGCTGGGCTAGGGCTGTGAAACATCTAATGAAGACTGACCTGTTGGGCCTCATGAGAATCACGTGGTCAGTTTTTTCGCCTTTTTTGAAGTGCTTCAGGCCTAGGGGCGACCGTAAAAAGACCTGAACCCGAAACCATCCGACTATCCCTAAACCCTAAACCCTAAACCCTAAACCCTAAACCTTAACCCTAAACCCCAAATCCGAAGCGCCCCTACAAGGCTCTCGCCTCGACAGCCGGAGCCGGCCCCTCGGAGGGCAGCCCGGCCGCCGCATCGCCGGGGCATGTCTCGGGTGTGGCCGGCGCGGCCGGGGCCGCGGTCGCAATCTCAGGGCTGTCAAAATTTTCAGGGCTGTCAAAATTTTGAGGGTGTTAAGGGGTTTTGAGGGTTTTGGGTTTAGGGTAGTTTAGGGTTTTTAGTGCCGCGTGTTCGGGGTGTGTATGTTAGCAAGGTTTGGGCTTCCTTTCTTGCCGGAGGTTGGGGCTTAGAGCTTCCTGTAGGGATTTTAATGCCTGAGGCTTAGAAGGGGTTCAGTTGCGGGGGTCCGCTGTTCGGTTTTGGACCGAGGAGGGAACCGCGTTTGAAGGTTTCCCGTGCGGTGCGGTGCGTTGTGGTGCGTCCTGCCTTCGTGTCGGCCATGCTCGCAGGAAGTTGGCCGCGATGCCGGACAGGGCACTCAGAGCCACACAGCTGATGCTGGCAGGCGAATGAGGCATGATGTCCACTGTACCGGGCTTTGAAATGAAAGGAACCTATGGTTAGGCTTGGCTTTTCTTGGCTCAACTGTAGCGCCGAAGCAGTCCGCATGAGGTTTGACGCGCAGAGCCAGGATGGGGATGGGGCGCCTCATGCCCCATCAAGCATAGCACATGCTTGATCTTGCACCTGGGACAAAGGCGTCCAACACAAGAATGCTTAGCTTGATGCTAGGCGCAGCAGGCAGCTCACGACAGGAACGAACAAGGTGGTCAACAGCCTTGTATCTGACGATACCAAGTACGAATATCTCAAGAAAGTCTCAATAGCTTTGGATAAGATTGTTGAGCCCACACCCAGGGTTGCTCCTGACCGGAAACATACCCCGGTGGACTGAGTGGCCAAAAGCTTTGCTGGACGAGCACTGCGGTGAACACTTGAACTGCACAGCGCTGGGCAGCGGACTGGCATAGCAAGTCCAACCACGACGTCAGCGACTGCACAAATTGGAGATGTGCGTGCTCTGAAGTGACTTTTACTTTGCAGGACATGAAGTACACATGGAGTAATTAGACAGACATCGATGGCTGCTCGGCTCGGATCTTTGGGGAGAAATCTGGTATCGAGGTTTTGCCTCTTTCTTGGCGTCTCTGAAGCCTTAAATTGAAGTGAAGTCGTGTCGAAAGTTTCGTGACCGGCGCACCATCATGCGCGCGTCGATGTCGGTCTCTCCCATGCCTCATGAGATGCACAGCAGATCCGTAGGCTGAGAATGCACAGCAGATCCGTAGGCTGAGACTGGCTGAGACCTTTCCTGTGCAAACCTGTCAAATCGACAGCAGCACCACACGTCCTTGACATGGTGAAGGTGCATAGCAATTTCAGAGTTAGCGGCAAGCTTCTGTACAAGCTTGCGTTGAGAATAAACCAGACGAATCTAAAGGCAAGAAGCGCATCAACGGAAACAAACCTAGTGCACATGGCCGACATGGCCCGTGAAGACTGTGGCCCCGACCCCAGCCAGGCAGGTCGGCGCATGGCGCCGAAGCCACATAAAGACCTCGGCACAAGGGCTGCCTCCCACAACAGTTCCGCCACCCCTGTGCCATCCACTCCACAAAGGGAGGCGTTCTGAGCCCCGTGCCCTTGGCGTGAGGAATGGAGGCCGGCGAGAAGTTGTGGCGAGCGCCGTCCTCAACCTATCGAGCCGAAGGCTTTTGGACGTCCTTTGGGCCTTTTGGGGGTGGGAGGGTGCGAGGGTGGGGGGAGGGCGGGGCGGGATTATTTCGGCAGCTCGGAGCTTGGTGTTTCGACATGCTTGCGACATCAGGGCACGGGCAAACGGTTTGCACACCTGATGGCCAAACCTTGAGCCCTCTAGGCCAAGAAAAAGTCCTGCCAGGTCACATCCACCTGGAAGCAAGCAGGCACTTCAACGCACTTGCAGCCGCCAAGAGGAGAGAACACGCATCAACAGCCCCGACAATTCGCGCGATCCCTGCCTGGGCCATGGAGGCGGAGTGGAGGGTCCACTCTAGAAGCTGATTCCAAGCAGCTTTGGGTGGAGGAGCGAAAGCTTAGATTAGATGGTTTCATGTATTTTCATATGGTGTACGAGGGTTTAGGAATGTTTACTGTAGGAGATTCGGTCGTTTCACAAGTCCATGAGATAGTCTTGCCAGGGTGAGAGCGGGCTTGCAACTGCTCAACACTCATTGCCAGGACTCTCCTCTTACACTTCACGAGCTGTTCTATCACTGCTTCTGCTCGCTGCTGCTTCCGCAGCTCTGGGTGCGTATCTTCGAGTCTGTGTGGACTGAAGAGACCTACCTCTGCATGGAGCCGCAGCACATCTCCCCCGGACGGGCGTGCAATTCAACTCCGGACCAGTATCTTGTGACACGTCCAATGTCAATCACAGCAGCCAAATGCGTGAAGCATCTGAGAGAGGTCATTCAAAGCGACTCCCTCTGATGAGCCCCACGAACCATCTGATGCTGTGTGCCACTGAGCGTTCGTTTCTGCACAGCCGGCACAGCGTGGTGACGCGGTGTGTCACACGGTCACACGCGCCACTTCGATGGCGGCGGAAACGGGGCATCCTGGTGAGCTTCCCTTCTCGATCTTGATTGGTCTACACGTGGCTGCACCCTCTCCAAAACGCTAAACCGCTAAAGCATGCCGTCCTTTGCAAACACGACCTTGCGGCGGTCGTGGCTCAGGTACCTCGGCGACAGAGTTTTGGGGGCGTTTCAGAGTTGGGCCGGCCTTTGCTGTGCCCGGTGACCGCAAGCTGGGCCTCGGGCCCTTTCACCGCCCCGCTGTGGATAAGCGTCGCCAGGGAGGCCGCCTCGTACCGGAGGCCAAGACCCAAGGTGTGCACGGCACCACGGATACCCGCAGCAGAGTTCAGATCATTTGGGAACTGCAACGGAGATTCGGAGCCCGAGTCTCAAACCGTTTCGTCTGCATCACACCCATCTTGCCAGCCGAAGACATGCTCAAACCTCAGGGCAAGCAGGGATAGCCAGGGCCAGCATCCTGGGTCTCAAGCTATTGAACTCAATCTTCAATCTCGCGGTGTCGCCGAGAGTCCGACGGTGCAAAGTCTAGCTTGTCGCTTTTGTCCGTCAGCCTGCAGCACTTTCAGGCAGAGAACGAGAGAGAGAGAGAGAGAGAGAAAAAAAAAAAAAAAAAAAAAAAAAGCGAGAGAGAGAGAGGCAGAAAAAGAGAGAGAGAGAGAGAGAGAGCGAGAGATAGCGTTGTCACGGGATTCTCTGTCTCTGCAACCATGCAGGCCCTAAACACTGACACCTAACCCGGCTCATGGCCTCCCACGAACTTCCACGAAGATTCCTTTCGTGAGGTTGCGTAGCACCTCTCTGGCAGCTGCAGGAGTGGACTTTTCTGTGTATGAAGCTTGCTCCTTCCCAAGAGCTAGCGGCTGGCGCTGCGCACTGCATCATCTTAACTAGCCTGAGGAGCAGACCATGAATTTCAGGCGCATCATAAGCAGGTAGGTGCCCATCTTAATGAGATCCTGGGCTTGCGCGTCGACGCGCATGGCCCCACCAGCCACCCCTGGTGAGTCTTAGGGGCTCGGCAGCGCTGAGCTCTTGCATGCGCTGGGTGAAGAGCTGAACGTTGCCCTTCGCAGGTCTCAGTTTTTTCTTTTGGGGGAGGGGGGGGGGGGCGGTGGATAGCTCAAGGTGTGGGAGGTAGCAAGAAGAGCTATGCACAAGCGAACTCAGTGGTTCGTGAACATGATAAAGGCAACCTTGCCAATGATCCGCCGACGCCTCGGGCCGCGGAGTTCTGGTGGTTGGTTGCCCCTTACCCTTGAACTTGCTCCGAAAGGCCGACCCTCTCTCGACCTCCTGTGGAGTTGCTGTGGACCTCCTAGGCACCTCCGATGAGTCCTGACATGTCGTGTTATGACCACCCCGATGCACCTCTGGACCTGCTCTGGTTATACGGACCTACGGAGCCCTTGGACCTCATGTGCGTCTCTGACCTGTGCTGGCACGCTTGTTGGCCATAGAACCTTTTGCGCCGCGACCCCACGAAGCATTAGCCCATTAACCGACACTGCACTCCACGGAATGGTTCGCTGCCATTGGCTGCAAACAAAACCATGCGATGCGGTTCGGCCTCTTTGATGGCCCGCACTATGTCGAAGAACACATCCAAGTCGTACTTGTGTAGAAGCTCCTGGGTGATCGAAGGGCCCGAGCGTCATCCAGATGATGTTATGTGGCTTGCACACATCTGTCGGCTTGCGACAGGCTGACTGGACAAGCAGACCAGCGGACGTATGTCACTCAAATCGGTAGCTGGCAAATCCCTAACATGAAGCCCGACTGCAATGCGGTCTCCAAGATCCCATTCTCCAATTCTCAATACTGGCCTACAGTTGGTCATCGATCAGCGGTGACAAGCCTGTGTCGGCAGCACCCCGAGTCGGAGCTTACACGGCACCAAGTACAACCTGGCGCAGAAAGGTGCAGGGTTACTAGGGCTTTGATGCCACGCAAATTCCAAGTCGTGCTTCAACTTGCCACGGGGCAGAATTCGCCGGCGGTTGGCCAAGGCCCTTAGGATGTGAGCACCAACCGCCAGGAAAATAGCCCTACTGAGGCTGTCATGGTACTTCATGACATGCAGGGACATGCTTGGGACTTGGGCTTCTCCGGACAGTTGTTGAAAGCCCAGGTCAGCTTCTCGTCCGCTCCCTGCAAGTTGTGGTCGAAGACCTGGGCTGTTTAGGGGAGTGCTCAGGGTTTTCCGGGGCGCGAAAAGGGCCTAGAGTCAAGGGTTTGCCGTGCCAAGGTCTTGGGTTGAGGGCTTCCACTCAGCTTGAGACACTTGGGCACAAAACCTGACCAGGCCAAGCGCTTGGCCAAGTATTTGCCCCAGAAGAAGTAGAAGGTCACCTTGGAAGACTCCAATCTGTAGCTGGTTGGATGCAAAGCACTTTGGAGGCAGAACGATCTTGTGACAATGCTGCCCAGCTGCGCAAATGGCCTTGGGAAGGTCAGTGGGGTTGAACCCATCCTGGAAGAGCAAGCCATGACACCAAAGCTGTCCAAAGCTCCAGGGCGACGAAGAATGAGAGTGCGACGGCTGTATGGAATGGGCTGGGGGGGGGGGGGGGGGTTGTGGAATACGTGGCCCGTAACCTTCTTGCCATGCTGTGATGCTTTTACTTATGCCAGAGTGTCATCGTCCAGTCCACTTACCAAGGTCTCGCGCAAGAAGTGCTAACCGAACACCCTGTGCCCGTCGGCATGCGCACTTTCACGGTATGGTTCCGCAATTAAGCTGGTTGGTCACGTGCTCTTAGCAAGAGTTGTTTTACAACTGTAGTGCCATATAGTGTCATGCAAGTGTGGACATTTCTCCCTCCAGACCTTCTGCATGGAATTCGTCACAGTGGACAGGAGGAATGAGCATTGCGACACCTGCCTGGCAGCCATATATTTTCATGTTGAGCCGTAAACCTAATCCTTGAACCAAATCTGGGCAGCGCCGGCATACTGAAAAAAGCAGGCAAGGGAGGGCCCCAGCTTGAAGTAGGCGCGCAGGAGTTCGCTACCTCAGGGTTTTCGGCTTTAGGTAGAACGCCAATCCCTCTCCCAGGGGTGGTGGGGCGGGGGGAGAGCGAGCAACGGTCTAGGTATACAACGCCAGAAGACTCGACTCTGCAGATTGTCATTTGGATTCATTTGGCGGAAGCTGCTCTTAGGTCCTTCTGCTAGCCGCTAGCAAGGTAGATGCTCCCAAGAGACATGGACAACCGAGTTTCATGTCATACCCTACATGGTCGAGGTACTGTGAGGGCCTGGCAAATCCACACGTGGCCTGCTCTCTTTGTTCGCTCCTGTGGTGGCCCAGCAGACACCAGCACCGGCGACCCCCAAACGGCCCTAACCCTCCGAACCACGTAAACATCTGTAAGCCCTGGCAATGCCTTGTTCAGCACCTTGAGAAATTCGCGATACAAGGCCACCAACCTGCAGGTCAAATCACATGGAGATCGGACTTGGGTGTAAAATGACAAGTGGTGCGTGCAGTTGTCTGCTCTTCGAGCTCCAGGCTTCTTGAGGTAGGCATTGTTCTCTTGGTCAGGTCTTTCCGCTCGCTCAGAGCGCTTGGCCTTCGAAGGGCGAGGGCAGTGGCAACTTGAGTCTTAGGATTTTCGGCCGAACTCAAGGCCCTGCACATCCCTATCCCTAACCCCAAACCGCCACCTGATCTAGCTGCATGGCAACGCGGCGTGCCATTGCAGTGAGCTGCATCATCAGTGGCCTGGTGGAGTGGAGAGCAAACTTCGCTACGGATCGGGGAGGCACACGGGGCTCGCACGTCATCCACAAGCCACTGCCCTCTGATTCCGCATACCTCTGAACCTAAGCAGAAACGCCAGCCATTGCAGAACCCTCGCGTGCTGCACATCCCAGTCCGTGTTATGGTGTCAGGTCGAAGAGTGATGGGAGTCGCCGTAGCTCGGCGCGAGACCCACATCTTTAAGCAGGTGCAGGCCTCACGGCATTCACAGAGCAGGGGCAGCAGCGACTCAATCAAGATGCTGTGACAAGGTCCATTGGCGGATTCTTTAGTCCACCTCGATTTGCGTACTGACACTAAACTCACTAAACGTCCGAACCGGCGTAGAGCATGTTGTTTTCACGCGCCGTAGCGATGGCGTTACAAGCCCATGATGCCAGGACGAAAGAACACAACATGCTCGCGTGGCCTAAACCCAACGGCAGCCGTGTACGTAGTGGCAACATGCACGAAGAAGAGGAGCCAGCTCTGGGCAGGTCTCCGAAACACGGGGAGCTAGCATGGCAGATGGACTGTCTGCGCCCCCAAGGCTCATGCCATCTCCAGGTGACGCACGGTCTCACCTTGCATCCAAGCTGCCAAGGACCAACTAACCCTGAGAACTGTCCTCAAGCCCAGCATACGAGATCGCAGTGGCCAGATTTGAGGAAAGTCCGGGGATTGTAGAGTTCTTGGAGAACCCTGAATCTCAGTCTCGGACTGCGCACGTTTGCCTGCATGCTCAGCAGGTACAGCGAGAGCACCTGCCAAAGGCAGAAGGCCCCTAAACCCTAACCCCTAGACCCTAAACCCTAAACCCTAAACCCTAAACCCTAAACCCTAAACCCTAATGCTGCTCCCTTTGGGCCCTTTGGGGGCCATTTTTCAAGCAGAGGCCAGGCCTCGCTGAAACTGTCGCCTCCATATTTCTGAGCAAGCTCCTGGCAGAAGCACACTCTACGTGTTGGGGGTTTAGGGTTTAGGGTTTAGGGTTTAGGGTTTAGGGTTTAGGGTTTAGGGTTTAGGGTTTAGGGTTCAGGGTTCAGGGTTTAGGCTTCAGGGTTTAGGGTTTGGTTTAAGGTTGAGGTTTCAGGGTCAAGGGTTTAGGGTGTACACGTTTAACATGCAAGGCATATACAAGGCAATATACAGGCATGGAAGGTATGGAGGGTATAAAATCACAATGGTATATAACAAGGCAAACACTGGCAGGGAAGGGCGCGAGAGAGAAAGACGGACGTAAATCCTCGCCACAAGAAAGCGAAGATTGAAGCAGATGAAGGATAGCTCCTCAAACCTGGAAACCCTAAACCCTATACCCTAAACCCTAAACCCCAAACCCTAAACCCTAAACCCTAAACCCTAAACCCTGACCCCTTCCAACTTCACAAAGATTCCTGGGTTCAGGGTTTTGTGGCACCTGGAGCTGCTCGCAGCGGCCGACCTCACGAAGGGGCAGCCGTCCCCGGTCCTCAGGAAGGCATCTACAGTCCAACGAAGCTATATTGAGGGTTTAGGGTTTAGGGTTTAGGGTTTAGGGTTTAGGGGTTAGGGGTTAGGGGTTAGGGTTTAGGTAGCCAATCCCTTTCCAGACCAGCTTCCCCAACACCCTGATGCCTGAACTCTCAACCCTACGTGGGGGGGGGGTTCCATTACGCCTTACTTCCTGTAAGGAAATTGCAACCTGCCGCTCCAAAGCTCAAGGCGCAGGCCGGATCCAATAGGTGAGCCAGGTGACTCCCTTCCTGGAGCACTGGAGCATAAAGGGGAGGGGGAGGAGGGAGGAAGGAGAGTGCGGGTGGGCGTCCGGCAAAGCCACACCCGACCAGGCAAGCGGTGTAAGTGCCTTGAGAACGACACGTCAAGGGTCTACGCGACACGAGCTACAGGAGCTACAATCCTCACCATGTGTTAGAAACCATAGAAGCCAGAAGGAACCGTCTATGTGCCGAGATAGATGTCGAGGAGAGGCCAGAGGCAGAAGTAACTCTATGTAGAACGAGCGATGCGGCCGGATTCAAGCAAGAGCTTTTTAGGTTTGACACAATCTACCGTCGGTATGAAGCCTTAAACGTTACCAGGTTTGCTGTTGTTTGGGCTCTTGGGGCGATATCTTTGCTTGGGTGGTTTCGGATGAGTTTCGCGGCTGGTGGGAAGACCCCCCCCAAAAAAAAATGATTCGGATTGCGTCGTTTGCGATGGCTTGGACACAGGCAGCACTCAGAAAGCTGTTTCAAGATTTCACGAAAAGTCTTGCGCGCTGCAGCTTTAGCAGCTGCTCCCCTACAATGTAGTTGCAATGTCATCGGAACAAACGCAGCTGATCTTTCTGGCATCATAGTACATAGCCCCACTCATCCCCGAAGAAGGCATGGCTTGCATGGCAGGGGGCAGGTAAGGACGTCTCACCGACGTCCGACAAAGCCGCAACATACTTGGACGTCCAGCTGTTTGATTGCCTTTACCTCCGGAAACTTGAGCGAAAATCTGACCTCTTCACCTCACAAGAGGCGTGAGCTCAGCGTTTTTGTTGCAGAAGGCTTGGGCCTTGTAAAGGGATACAGAATGATACAAAGCGTTAACACATCGGCTCTGTTTGCGGAGGCGAGCGGGATGGGAGGTTGGAGAGAAGCCATGAAACGAACTCAATCAACTTGGGCAAGCCTGTCAGTAAGATGATTTTGTCAACACTCATTTGGGCAGGCAGATAGTCTGAAAAGCATGGGAAGGGGGGCGAGGGCGCGGTGCAGTGATTGTCCATCTTCACGAGGGGCAAGCCGTCCCCCTAGCCAGATGGCCAGGATAAAGACCAAACTCAGTCCTGGCGGTCCGTGTGCCGCCGAAAGTTGCCGCAGAAGCCTCGACTGCAGGCACTTCTTAAATAGAAACTTCTTCAACTCCTGGCTCTGGGGATGCAGGGGAGACTTCGAGACCGCGCAGAGCGAAGCGCAGATGACATGCCAGGCTCCAGTTCAGGGCGGCCTCTTACGATGCCACGACCTCTGAAACCAACTTCATGAGCAGCGCAACCCTCAGCCTCGGACCGACCAAGGCTGAGTTCCTTGGGCCAAGAGGTTTTTGCGGCGGAGACTTTTACGGAGGGCTTCGAGGTTGCTGAGGTTGCCGCGCCATGGCCCGCTCTTCGCCGTGTAACGGTAGGACCACGGCTGGTCTACAGCGTCGTCATGTCAGACTGATGCTTTTGGGCGTCTGCTGGCTTTGGGAACAGTGGGGTAGGCATCGCTTGGCCTGCTGGCAAAGTATGGGGGCGGCGATCTACGACTGGTTCTGAGCTTCTGCACCTTAAACTTGGGGACCTTAGGATGGCAATCTTGGCTACACTTACCCGGGAAATCCCTGAAGGACGCTGCGCATTCTGCGATCTGCAGCGCCAAAACCACCCTGCATTTTTCTTTGTGTTCATGGGTCCTGCTGCAGCCGAAGCCTGCCACGCACATAACGTATCAGTGACCTCAAGTGGCTGACTCCAGATAATCCGCTTACCACGCGTATCGCGTTTGAGGCTACACTGAAATGACGGCCAGTGACAAGCAGTGCCGCGATGGTGTCCCGACTGGCATGCAGCTGCAGCACTGGGTGTTCCAAACAGGGGTTTGCAGTGGCTCTTTTCAGCGCCCCTCACCTCACGGGAGTCAGCCGAGAAACGGTGTATGCTCAGACAGCCCTCCACCCTATCCGAGGCCTTATTCGGCCTCGAATCTGCACGTGGAAAACTCATCGACCTACGAGACATGACTAGGGTTGCCGGCTTCTGCCATACTTCTCACCTTATTGACCAAAAATTGTTGTGGTATTAGTTCGACGACGTGCAGGATGGTGCAGGCCTGTTCCCAGTTGCTGGTTGCACTGTGCAGAGCAGCTCCTGGGAGTGACTCGATATTGATTCCAGTGGGCGTTTTGCCCACCGTCGGCCTCTCAGGCTCGCCACCTTCCACTGAGATGGGGTTTAGGGTTTAGGGTTTTAGGGTTCAGGGTGTAGGGTTTGGGGTTTAGGGTTTAGGGCTTTGGGTCACGATTTGGTACGGTTCATGCTGAGCCTGGGGCTTGCTGGCCCATGCCTCTGCCAAGCCAATGCAAAGCGACATTCGCCTGGGGCATCAAAGCTTGCGCGCAACCCTAAACCCGAAACCCAAAACCGGCCCTAAACCCTAAACCGGCCCTAAACCCCAAAGCCTAAACCCTAAATGCAAACCGAGACCCTAAACCGTAAACCCTTTGCTTCCCCCACCTCGAACGCGGTTCGCAGCCCTATTGGGTATTGGGCTCCTATAGGGCTGACCTACCCAGAGGTCCCCTAGAAACCCTTCTCAGGCACCCTTTGCAAAACCTTTAGGGAGGCCCACTTGCCAACGGGAAACGCAGAAATCCCCCCAATGCTGAAAGTCAAGAAGGCCAGAGAAGAAAGCCAAGGCAGAAAGCGCAGAATGCTCAAATGACAGGCTTGGAAATGATTCATATGCTGCTCTTGTCTAACATCAGGGATGCAGTCCTTTGCACTCTGCATCTCGTGGCTTGACTTCCCAGCCCAGAGTGCCCGTCAAGCCAGGCCGAGGCGGTCGATGGTCGACGCGTTGAGGCGTTGACATTAAGCGAAGCAAACACGAAGGATGGATTTGGGCGCGCAAGCCTCGAAGTGATCAGCGCGGATGCTGGCCTGAGCATGCTGGGGTTTTTTGGGCGATGCCGCACAGCGGACGCAGAGCTGAGGCGCTGCAGGGCGCGGCGGCGCGCTCCCGCAAAGGCCACGGTACCATGCTCAGCCCGACGCCGGTTGATCTCATGCCCCAGTATTTGGGGGCGTTGGGACAGGCACAGTAGCCTGGCTCACAAGAGGCACCCTCACTGAAGGCAAGACCACCGGTCGCTGCGTGTTCTCCACTTATATTTACATACACATACAGCATGCATATTGTCTCTGGCACGGTTGAAGATTAAAAGCCTCGATGCAGTTAACGCAGACAGTCAGACTCACAAAGCCATAAAGCAATAGAGCGAAGGAGCCTCACTGCTGATGACACTGTACACCGGGTCCACCAGGACCGCCGCGAGGACCATCCTCCTGGCAGCCAAAACTTAAATGGTGTACCTACCCGGCGTCCCAAAACTGCTCAACCCTCCCCCCCCCCCCGCTTGATCCATCTAATCATCTCATCCTCGAAGCTACTGTTGCTGTCCATGGGAACGGCCCTAGTCGCTTCATGCGTGCATGGCAAGCTTCCTCATCATCGTCGTACGCCTCGCCGCCCGCCTGCATGTTGACCTGCGTCAAGAAGTTCAAGAGGCTCCCAGAAACGTCAGCCATCGTAACAAGCCCCACATAACACCAATGCAAATCTGCGAGATGGGCCCTGGGATGAAAGATGATGAAGGCCTTGTTGGAGTTGAAAGACTGAACTGGGTCGATGTCGGTCACAGTGTGAATCTCGACATCCTTGTCGTCCTGTCAGCGGGAGTGTGCTTGCTATATCTTTACGCACACTGACGACGACCCCGAGAATGCTCCTCTGACCACTTTGGCACATTCAGAGGCCTGGCATATCTGAAAGACCAACAACAGTGGGATCCACTCCAGACAAGTTTTTCCTTGCGGGCCCTCCGTCCTTTCCACAACGTCTCGACTGAGGCCGCGGCGGCGGCAGCAGCTTTGCCATGGCCTGGCGGGCTACGACAGTCAGCTCCACATCTCAATCTCAATCTCGGCTATGCCGCTCGGCTGCAACACAGCAGCTCAGCAATGCCATGCAAAAGCCGAAACTCCTACAAGCCCCTTCAGGCCAATCGCATCATTCCTCTGAGCCTCAACCCTGATAGAAGAGTTCATTAACCCCACAACCCAGAATCCTCAACGGTCCTAAACCCGGACTCAGCTTGCGGCGGTCTGGTTCTCTGGAGACAGCGAGTCCGGAAACCTGCACACACAAGGCAGAAAACTGAGGCCACTCGAGTGAGGCACAGCTCCCTTTCAAAAACGAGAGCTGCTTAACGCATGGCTGAGCTGAACCAACTTCCAGCTATCTGAGGCCCCCGGCTCGATCGTGAGGATCAGGAAGAGGTTGCCGTGTACGAACCTGAGACCCCGGCGAATCCCCCGCGAATCCCCCGCGAGTCCCCGCGCGTTCCCGCTTCTTGCGGGGTTGGGAGTTGGGTTGAGGTCGGGTTCGGGCCGGTGAGGGCTCACTGCGTGCGAGAGGCGGGTTCTTGTAGGTCGGCATGCCCTCATCCTTCACAGCCTTCCGCATCCACGCGCGCTGCGCAGCGCAACATCCACCCCTAAACCCTAAACCCTAAACCCTAAACCCTAAACCCTACACCCTCAACCCTAAACCCTAAACCCTAAACCTAAACCCACACATGTTGCAGCTGCAGTTCCAGACCCCCAAGCTCTCGAATTTCGACTGGCCTTCATCATGCGGAAGGCCTTCTTGGCCTCACAGAACAGAATAAAAGGTAACGAAGCTTCACCATCACCCTGTGTCTGAACATGTCGGATCGGTGCTGCCACCAAGGAGCATCTGGATCTGGGATGAGGTACCTGCGACACAGGCCACTCGGGAAGCCGCACCACGCAGCGCCGCAAGGGCAGCGGACAACGACAAGGCTTCCTTCCGAAATCTTCCGAAAGCTTCATAGACTGCCAGGCTGCATCGTGCTACCGCGACGCGTCTTCTTAGCCTCAGGGTAGTCTGCAAGGACGCTACAGCAGTGCTATGTAGCGGTCCTATTGTCTCACATGCAAAAAATGGCTGGGCGCAAGGCTGCCAGAGCCTCTTCGCGAGTGCACTGCTTGAAGTAGGCGCCTGAGCAAACGACATATCGCGAGCTAGATGTCTCGTGCTTCGGGGACGATGGTGCAAAGGCAGGCTTCGACGACAGTGGTGAAGTTATTACTGCGCACGGCAAGCCCGTCGCGTCCCCCTGAGGCGCGGTCGCTGGCCGTCTACGACAAAGCATCCCACATCGATGCCCTTTCCTGGGGTGCGACTCGCTGCGGCGCTGCTGCTTTCCCGACTAGCCGGAGCATCTTGCTGCAAGCCATAACATTGGTCCTGACAACAGCATCTGCTCCCTTTTCCCCTTTTCAGGAACACTGGGCCACGAGGCGCTTGAGCTGCGTCTCGCACGCCTTCTTCAGCGTGTCGATGTCTGTGGTGTCTGCCTGGAGACGGGAAGACGGGTCCCATCGGCGACTCTCCGGACCACATGCGCCCGAGCCTGCGCCACGTTCTCCACGGAAGGGCAGTCTGCATCCTCGATGACTTCCCACTCGGTCTTGTTATCCTCACGTCTGGTCAGTTCTCGAGATGTTGGTGCCTTGTTCCAGTGGGAATTACCCAACATGAAGGATAACATGGACCCCAAGAAGGGACCCCCCAATTCAGAGAACCGACCATCTAAAGACATGCGGACACTGCCATGGGCCGGCCTCTTTGGCAAGAGGGTCGAAGCCCTGGGACATGGGCTTCACGATCTCACCTGCGTCAACTTTTTTGCAGATGGCCTGAGGCTTGGGCACAAAAAGGGGGCTTGCGAAGAACTCGCACGTCAGCTTGGTCGGCCTGGCTGCGTCTTGATGAGCAGCTTGCGGCCGTCCAGGTGCGTGAGCTCCATCTGGAAGCCGCACAGGGCCTGTGGGGCTGCACTCGCTTCAGAACTGCCGATGCCACTCACGCCCGCACGACAGCTTGGCTGCAGCATGCTGCCACAACACGGCACCTCGACCAAGGAAATCTTGCGCTCCACGTAGAGATCGGCGCCTTTCCTCTTGAAGTCGGCATGTTCCTGGCATGGGGATTTGCCATGGTACTGACCGGAATGCTGGGGGGCTGATCTCGGATGGCACCCTGCACGCCTGCTGCTTCAGCACGAAGACCACGTCACCAGCATCCGCATCCGGGTGCTCGTCAGCCATTTCCCTGAACGTGACCTGCAGCACACTGCTGCTAGCGTGGAGCCATTTGGCACACGCGCACAATCACGCACACGCGCACGCGCACGCGCACGCGCACGCGCACGCGCACGCGCACGCGCACGCGCACGCGCACGCACACGCACACGCACACGCCTACGCCTGACTGAAGCTACACTCGGATGAGCACGTTTCGCAGGGTTGCCACATTGCATTCGTTGCGCGTCTGTTGTTCTCAACCATGCAAAACAGCAATGTCCCTCATGGCATGCTGCCAGACTTTCTGCACATTCGCAGGTGCATTTGCATGGGCCTGCTTTGCTACTATAACAAATTGAGTTCGCAGAGACAGAGTGTATGTATGTATAAATATATATATATATATGTAAATATAAATATACACACCACGCGACAGCGCGACTCTCCTCTGAAAAACCTGCACTCTCTGCCATCGTGCCTTGTGGCCATCCGGTGCACCCTTCTGCACATGCACCTCGAGGACCTGCCAGACGGAAGGCTCCAAGCGCAACCGTGTCTCACTGTTCTGGCAGTAGCGTGCCGTCCGGCCGTAACGACAATGGTCCCTTTAAGCTTCTCAACTATAAACTACAGTCCTGAGGCCCAAGATCTTCGAACTCCTAACTTAAGCGCATGGCAATTGATGCAAGAGTCTAGCCCTTAGACCAGCCCCCGGATAACGAAGGAAGCGGGGGAGCCTGCCTCCCTGTCCTGCTTGGTTTGGAAGCTCTTTCCCTGACCGCCGCAGGAATGGCACTGCGACTGCCTGCGGATTCTTCGGGTCAAAGCGGATTGGTCAGGTGGCGTACTACACTTGCACTTCGTGGTGAAGCCTGGAGCTTTCGGGGGGCCCTACGTGCAGTGCTCATGATGCAAGACCACCCAATCCGAACCTTGATCCCGAATGGATGTGTGAATCTGCCATGGATTGCTCAAACAAAAACAGTCGCTGCCGAGCCACATCTGCTGAATCATGGGCCTCAGCGTGCGACCCAGCTGAGGACGCGCTGGGCCTGAAAAGCCGCCTGAAGAGCCTGAAGAGCCTGAAGAGCCTGAAAAGCCTGAAGACGAAGCGTTTGCCAGTCCAGTGGCCCCATGCGCACGACCTCGACCTTCACGCCGCGGCCGTCGCATTCCCGACACTCCTGGACGCCCTTCTTCTTGTCGATGACCTTCCAAAACGCGCTGGAAGCTTGCGTGGGAAACTGTGGAGCTTCTGTGAGACCACTCACTCCCACCTGACGGGTGATAGCCATCTTCTTGGTGGAGCCGGAGTACATCCTTGGGTGACCCTACTCTGGAGAGAGAGCGAGAGAGGACAGAGAGGTGAGAGAAAGAGAGAGGGAGGAGGCAGAGAGAGAGAAAGAGAGGAAAAAGACAAAAACAACATACATATGTACATACATACATACATATATATATATATGTATATGCGTACAAGCGAGGGAAAGAGAGTGAGAGAGAGAGAGAGACAGCCAAGTAGTGTGTCGAAAGTCCATGCAGCGGCACTGTATAGCTACTGAACATTGTACAGGGATCCGTGTGACAGCAACCTTCTTTCTCTTGCGTTGAGGGACTCGCTCTGAGTAGACTAGGGCTAGGCTTGCAGGCGGGACGCTGCTCTAGGGTGACCTTGAGGTTCTGCACAACGTCCTGGCTTCTGTGGGCGCCACTGAAATTGGGCCGCAGACGCATGCCTTTGTCACAAAGCATCACAGCCAAAGCAGGCCACCTTGGTCTTCTGTCGCTTGCGGGCGCCACCACCACCCCGGCGGCCGCCTCCACTGCGGCGGAGCAGAGAACAACATGAGATGGCCACGGCCAACGGGAACAGCGGAACTTCTCCCCAAAAAGTGCAAAGGCTGGCCTCCCCCGAAGAAGGCCTCGAAGATGTCCCCTGCATCGCCCGGCCCATCGTTCTCCAGGCCCTCCTCACCTTGGAAACTCAAAACTCACGCTCACGGGAAACGGCGCGGGAGGGAGTTGGGGGGAGGGGGAGTGGGTTTGAGGATCTTAGTCGTCGATGGCTTCAGGCGGCTGAAACGACCTTCCAGCAAGACTCGGACTACAAACAAGTACATGAGTCATGTCCATGATCTCAGCACCGAACCGAACCGGTCGTACTTGGCTCGCTTGTCGGAGTCGCTCAACACCTCGGGCCACGGCGTATGTCACGTGTGTCTGTCAGCACAGCTGTCGGCACAACTAGGAGAAGTCATTCAGGCGCGTATCCAGCAACGCAGCCCCTCGCCTCGTATGCTCGGGTGATCTCCTTGAACTTCTCCTGGTCACCGCCCTGGCAAGCTCGAAAATGCTTCCGGCGCCCCAACAAATCTTCGACTAAGCTGATCGCCTTGTCGGGGTGGTGCTTCACGGCCAGCTTCCTGTACGCCTTCGAAAGGCTTCGAAGCAGGCACGTGGCGACGGAACTGACCACGACCCTCCGTGTCGTGCGACGGAACAGACCAGGACCCTGCGGGTCTATGTGCAAGTCGCGTGCGACGTGCTCGCACCTTCTTGATGTCAGATTCTGAGGCGTTCCTTGGAAGAGGGCTACAGGTTACCTTGGAAGAGGGCTACAGGTTAGTCCATCCACGCGTCAAGGCTGCTTGCATGCATGCAATATGCCATTCAGCTCATCATCTGTCACGTCAGGGACAGCGAGCGCCAAGCACTAAAAATGCTACGAGTATGCTGAACAGCTCCACTTGTGCACAAAGAGACCTCATGGAAGGGCGTGTGGTTGTCTCTCGGTGTGTGGGGGTTTGAGTACACCAGACCCGAGTTGAAGGCCTTCCCGGCACGGCTGCATTGAAGAAACTGGTGGGGGGGGCACCCTCCAAAGCACAACAATCAGGTCATGTCGGAACTTTGCACTGAATCTTGGCCCGGCGGCTTGTCTACCTCGAGGAGTTTGTAGAACTTGGTCGTGTCCGCGTTCTTGGACCGGCCTGGCTGGGCCCAGGGCAGCTCGGCACGGATCAGATCTGGACGCCCAACGCAGTCTCGGAGGGGCTCATCACAATGCTTCGGCAATGACTCTCCGGAGGCGCCTCCGCCCTTGCCCCCCATGCCGGGGAAGTCGCCTCAAGCGTGGTCCGCAAAATCCAGAGTTGCTGTGATAGGGGTGTGGGGTCTGGGGCTTGGGAGGCGCCAGGCTGCGAAATCTTGCACATCGCCTCTATAAAGACATCTACATTACGTGCAACAACCGAATCCCATGCCGAACGTATCCCTCCTTCCCTCCTTTTCCCTCCTTTTCCCTCCTTTTCCCTCCTTTTCCCTCCTTTTCCCTCCTTTTCCCTCCTTTTCCCTCCTTTTCCCTCCTTTTCCCTCCTTTTCCCTCCTTTTACCTCCTTCCCTCCTTCCCTCCTTCCCTCCTTCCCTCCTTCCCTCCTTCCCTCCTTCCCTCCTTCCCTGGAAAGACGAGCACTTGCGTGAGGCACAGCCCCTCACTCTTCAACCCAACTACCCCTTCAAACACGCTCTACCCCTGCCGCAGCTTCCTGGAAACCCGCCGCCGAAGAACATCTCGGCGGAAAGGGAAAAGGTGCCTTGCGCTGTACGGCGGACAGTGAAGAATGTCTTGTTTGGAGAGATCGTCGTCAAGCTGCATCAACCGACCGCTTTAGACAGCAGAATCTGCGACGCAGAGGCTATGCATCCCAAAGCTGGTTGAAGCCAAGCGACTATCAGCTGTTAACGGCTACTGCTACCCAAACTGTACTACTGTCCCAGCACTGAATTGAGCCGACTGAACGGGAACGGCGTGCATCCAAAGAACCGAGTTGCTGTTCGCCCTACATGGTCTGGCGTGGTATGGCATCGTCTGCATGCGACAACACCATCATTGGCAGCTTTACTTTGCATGCCTCGAGGCCCTGGGGCCTCAGTTGGTCGTTATTAGGTGGTCTGGACCGCCGCTAACCCAAAATAGCCTTTCGTGGGGGCACCTAGTCATGCTTTCCCTACTTTCACTTTTGGTGGCTTTGTTCCGCCAGGCAGCCCACCATTCGTTCCTAAGTGTGCTGTGTGGCAGAGCATGCTGAGAGGAAGCGTCCGCGACCTCGGTTGGCTGCCTTGTGCTTCTTGTCGTAGTGCTGAGGGTCTAAAGGGTTCAGGGTTCAAGCATCCTCCACCTCAAGATTCACCAGAACTCAGGCCCTACTCTTTCTCTTATAGGTCTATAACCTGGTGGAACAAGCTCGGGTCAATCTGACCGTTTCAAGCAAGCACGCGGAGGCTTCTCGCAGTAAGGACCCGGCTGTCTTTTGCGCAAGGGTACAAAATTGCGAGCCACCGGCCAAGGAAGACTCACCAATATTCACAGATGCAGCGTTCGTGCTGGCACTGCCCACCCCACTGAGCTGCCCACCCCGCTGAGGCTGCCCCCTCCCAAACGATTGGTACAGGAAGGACATGAGATCCGCTGCATCTATCTCTCTATCTCCCCATCTATCTGTCTATCTATCTATCTATATCTATCTCTATCTATCTATACAAAAACGGGTTTCCATGTCCTATCTATATAATATGTATATATACATATAAGAGTATACAATACAAGGAGATATAGAAATACATGTAGTTGCGACATGTTGTGGACTCTGCTTTGGGGCCGCGTGCTCGGCACTCCGGCAGCTTCGGCAATGAGCCCAGAAGCGCAAGGCACTGGCAGGCTGGCGGTTTAGGGTTTAGGGTTTAGGGTTTAGGGTTTAGGGTTTAGGGTTTAGGGTTTAGGGTTTAGGGTTTAAGGTTTATGGGGTTTATGGGGTTTAGGGTTTAGGGTTTAGGGTTCCGGGTTCAGGGTGCCAGGCATCCGTGCACTAAACGTTCTTGGACCACCTCACCGGAGATGTACATGAATTATAAACGTGGCACGGTCAGGGCTCAAAGTGCTCCTGTGAAAACCGATGCACCAAAAAGTTGCCCAATCGGTCTCAATCCACGTACTCTCCACCGGCCGTGTTGGGCATGGACGCTCCTCCGTCCGCACTCTCCTCACCAAGATCCTCCGGCGAGCCCTGGCCGCGCCTCCGGCACATCTTCCTGCGGCGGATCTTGGGCTTGGTTAGGGAGCCCTTGCTGAGGATGCAGGGAGGGCAGGAGAACACTGCCACGGCCATGTTCGGCCGGAAAGCAAGCTTCAGCACGTCGCACTCCACGGGCTGAACGTCGACACTCGTGAGGGCCGCGGGCTCCCCCGAATCCAACATCACCAAGTCGCCCCTCTTCAGGGAACCAGCTGGGACGAACGTGCAGCTCATGCCGACTCCGATCTCCTCCTTGTCCGCGTCCTCCTTGTCCTTGTCCGCCTGGTCCTCCGGCACCTGCACGGGGTGGTCTTTCGTCACCCGCAATGTCGCAGCTCCGGCCTGCAAGTGGACGAGCTCCGTGGCGTGGCAGACCTCCGGAACTTCGCAAACCTCCAAGATGGTCTCGTCGTCGCCGGCCACCACCTGCGATCCTTTCTTCAGGTCCCGTCCCATCAGGAAGAAGTCGATGCCGCAGCCGCGGGTCTTGAAGACGGACTCCGGGACGAAGCAGTCGGGCTGCACAGAGAACCAGGACGAGCCAGACGAGCCGCTGGAGATTGACGCGGCGTCATCCACCAGGATGTAGCCCAGCTGCTCCGTCAGGTCGGAATCGTGGCTGCTGGAGGCCTCTTCCGGATCCTCGTGGGCAACCGCCACGCTGCGGGTGATGCGGTGCGTTGCTCGTGGTTTCGCCTCGGCAAGCTGGCGCTCCAGCTGGCGGCAGCGCTCCTTGTACACACCCTTCTCTTCCCACAGGACCTGCATCTGGCCCAGCTTCGCCTCTGCCTTTGCAAGCTGCTGCCTGAGCTGTTCACATCGTTCCTTGTACATTGCGTTCTCCAGCAAGGCTTGCAGGTTCGCCATGTTTCCACACGATCCCTCTGCCAAGGTGCACACGAGCGGCTCGAACAACGCCTGCAACTCCGCCTTGCTTCCGGAAAAGTGCCTGCAGAGCTGGTCGCACAGCTCCTCTCGCACTGCCCGGAGTTCCCGTGCTGCTGTTGCCGTTGTCGCCTTCAAGCTGCCACTGAGATGCTCGATCTGGCTCTGGGGCTTCGCACTCTCTCCTCGCCGCTCCTGATCGCGCTTGTCCGACGCCTCCACGCGACGCACGAGCTGCTCGCACCGCTCCTTCTGCGCAGCACCCTCATCTTGCGCAGCTTGAAGCTCACGCGCCTTGCCCGCCACTGCGTCTTCTGCCGCCGCCAGGCGCTCCGTGAGCAGCTCGCACTGCTGCTTCGCAGCTTGGAGCTCCCGCTGCTTCTCTGCACTTGCCGCCTGCGCCGCCTCCAAGCTGGCATTGAGCTGCGTGTTCCGCAACTTCTGCTGCACGACCTCCTCCTTCACCGCGTGGAGCTCGGCTTCAGCAGCCTTCAGGCGCTCGGCAAGCTGCTTTTGCTCCTCCGGGCCCTTCTCCTCCACTTTCTGCCGCTTCCGTGCCGTCTCCTCGGCTTCCGCCTCGGCCGCCGCCAGCCGCCCAGCGAGCTCCGAGCAGAGAAGGAGGAGACGAGCCTCCCACTTCGGCGAAGGCGTCCAACCCCCACCCACTCGCTCCAGCCCCGCCTCCGAGAAGGAGATGACGCAGCACCGGCTGAACTCGCTCCGCCCGTGCTGAGCAGCTCGGCGAGCCGCGACTCCTGGGAGCGGTCCGCGTCCCCATTCGGGTAACGCTCCTCCATGCGACTGCACCAGGCCGCCGCCTCCGCCGGGTTCGCGGCCCAGAGCTCCGCGAGCCGCGCCGCCACCGCTGTTTGGGCGCGCTGAAACTCGGCATGGCCGTACCTCGCCATCAAGTGCACGAAGGCGTCGAGGGGGGCCAGCCGGCCGGGACCGCGGTCAGCTGCCAGAGATACGGCATGTGGCGATCTTGAGAACGAAAAAAAGCACCTTTTTAGTGTGGCGGGCCGGGCTCTCTGCTGGAAATTCCTTTCTCTGAGCCGGGCTCGCACGCATAGTACCGTAAGATACCGTAAGCACATGTGTGTGTGTGTGTGTGTGTGTGTGTGTGTGTGTGTGTGTGTGTGTGTGTGTGTGTGTGTGTGTGTGTGTGTGTGTGTGTGTGTGTGTGTGTGGGGTGTGTGTGTGTGT